CTTACAATATTGATTATTCAAGATTAGAGACCACAGATGGCGTTTGTCCATAAGCACATCAGTGGTGAAATGAGGAAAGTGGTTTACTATTGTGGGAAAAGCTTTACTGTTTGAGGTAAGACAAACTTAGTTTTAAATTTCTGTTTTGCCACTTAGGTTGGGCAGGCTATTTTATAGCAGTTGGATGGTCTCTTATACATGTTTTTTGTTTTTGTGTATTATTTTGGGACTATGTCAGTGTATTTGTTGGAACCCTTAGATTGTCAATGATTAGCTCTAGTGTGAAAGGACGTTGGACTAGAATTGTCTCTGAGGGGCCTACTGACCTGAGAGGTCTGAACCTACTTAGTAGTAACCGATGTTTCAACCCTACTGACAGATAATGACAAATGAAAATGGCTCTTTGGCTATTAATTCCTGTTCCTAGTCCAAAGCAGTTTATAATCATTTGTTTTTATAAAATGAAATAGAAAACAAAAGATTGGCTCTGATTATTTTGCACGATAGAAATTGCATTCTTTCTTTCTTTTTTTATTTTAAAATCATGTTTATTCTATTATAGTTGTCTCAATTTTTCCCCCTTTGCCCTCCTCCACCCATCCCACCCCACCCCCTGCTCCCACAGTCAATTCCCACTCTGTTGTCCATGTCCATGGGTCAATCATACATGTTCTTTGTCTAGTCCCTTCTCCTTCTTTTCACCATTGTCTTCCTTCCCCATCCCCTCTGGCCACTTTCAGTCTGCTCTATGTTTCCATGCCTGTGGTTTATTTTGTTCATTAGTGAATTTTGTTGAATAGATTCCACTTAGAGGTGAGATCATATGGTATTTGTCTTTCACCAACTGTCTTATTTCACTTAGCATAATATTCTCCAGTTCCATCCATGTTGTCGCAAAAGGTAGGCGTTCCTTCTTTCTTTCCTTTTTTTAAAATGCAGATTGATTTTATTTATTTATTTTTTAAAATGTCAAAATCCATTATAAAATATTAAAAAATTTAAATCCATTATAAAGTCTCAGCAATTAAAACAACATGACACCAGCACAGAAATAATCAAGTAGATCAATGAAATAAAATGAACATTCTAGAAACAAATGTGTGCGTGTGTGTGTGTGTGTGTGTATATATCTGTCTAACAGTGTACTATATGATTAAATTGATATTTCAAATCCATGGGGAAAATAAGGCTTATTCAACAAATAAGGTGCATGGACCACTATTACTTGAAATAAAACAAATATAGAGCCCTATTTCACACATCATATAAAAAATATTCAGATGCGTTAAAAATCAATATGTAAAGTCTAAGGAGTTTTAGGAGAAAATACAAAATAATACTTTTCTTACCCTGAACTAAAATATTCAAACCGAGAAGCTATAAAGGAAAATATTGACAATATGGCTATTTAAACATTTAAGACTAAGCAGTAATATACATATAAAAAAAGTTAAAGGACAAGTAATAGAATAGGAAAGTATTTGCAACACATCTAAAAAAGGGTTAATAGTTTTTTTGTTTGTTTGTTTTAGGGAAAAAATTCTACAAACATTTAGTCAAAAAATGGATAAAGAATATCAAAAAGTCATTTAAAGCTTTTTGAAAATAATAGGATTGGGCAAGAAATATTCAAAAACAAGTTTAGTTTCAACAAATAATAAAGTGACACTTCACACATCATTGTCACAATCAGATTAGTAAGTATTAAAAATATTGGTAATATCAAGTATTGGTGACTGTGAAAGGAACTGGGTATTCATAGACTCTTTTTCTTCATCTTCTTAAAGCAGCCCTGTTAGCATATCTTGCAATGCTGGTTTGGTGGAGGTGTATTCTTTTAGCCTTTTTTTTTTTTTGTCTGGGAAACTCCTTATTTCGCCTTCCATTTTAATTGAGAATCTTGCTGGGTAGCACAGTCTTGGTGGCAGGCCTTTGCTTTTAATGACTTGGAATATTTTTTGCCATTGCCTTCTGGCTTGTCTGTTGAGAAGTCAGCTGCTAGCTGTACCAGGGCTCCCTTATATGTTACTACCTGTTTCTCCCTTGCTGCCTTTAGGATTTTCTGTTTGTCTTTGACATTTGTCAATTTAATTATGATGTGTCTTGGAGTGGGCCTCTTTGGGTTCCTCCTGAATGGGACCCTCTGTGCTACCTGGACTTGTGTGACTTTTTCTCTCCTCCAATTAGGGAAGTTTTCCATCATTACTTTTTCAAACAAGTTCTCTATCCCTTCCTCCTCTTCTTCTCTTTCTGGTATCCCTATTATACAGATATTATTATGTTCCAGGTTGTCTGGCATTTCCCTCAATGCTTTTTCATTCTTTTTGAGTCTTTTTTCATTTTCTTCCTCTTTCTGGGAGCTTTTTTCTACCTTATCCTCCAGCTCGCTGATTCGCTGCTCTGCTTCATCTAGCCTGCTTTCGATTCCTTCTACTGTGTTCTTCAATTCAGAAATTGTATTCTTCATTTCCTCTCGCCTCTTATTGATAGTTTTGATGTTCTTTTTCATGGTGATATAGTTTGCAGTAAGTTCCTCGTAGTTCCCCTCTAGTTTTTGGTAATTCTCTCTGAGCTCACTGAGCTCATTGAGCTTCCTTAGAACCGTTGTTTTGAACTCAATATCTGATAGTTTAGTTGCCTCTATTTCATTTAGTTCTCTTTCTGGGGCTGGCTCCTTTCCTTTCAATTGGGGGGTGTTTCTTTGTCTTTCCATTGTTTGTGAGGCTCTTCTTTTTTGCGTCTGCTTCTTAAATTGATCTGGGTTGATTTCATGACTTTGTGGTGTGAACTTCTATGGTAGGAGACTGTTGTTTTTTCTTTCTGGATCTGCCTCTGATGATGTCAGATGTTGACACTCTCTGACCTTAGACAGTCTGTTCGAGACTTCCAGGAATCTACTGTCTGTGGCTGTCTCCTTCAGTTGTGAATCTAGTCACTCTGCACTCAGAAGACAGGTTTAGACACCACAGGGCAGAGCAGAGTCCCTCCTGGGGATGGGGTATTGGGTCCTCTCACGCTGCTGCCGCTCAGAGGAGTGGTCTGACTGAGCCAGATGGCTGCTGCTGTATGGAGGAGAAGTCAGCACTGGGATCCCTCCGGCTACTCTCTCAGTTCTCTCCCCAAAGCCTCTGTCTCCAGTCTCTCCTCAAGTGTCTCTAGACTACTCTGTACCCCTTTTAGCCAGGGATCTAGTATCTGTGGCTGCCAGTCTGTACTCAGCAGTCAGGCTTTAGCACCATCAGGCCAGGGCTGAGTCCCTCTTGGGGGCGGGGCTATTGTGTCCTTTCATGCTGTTGCCACTCGGGAGTGATCTGCCTGAGCAAGATGTCTGCTGTCATGTGGGGGATGAGTCAGAACTGGGATCCCACCAGCCACTCTCTCAGTTTTTTCCCCAAAGCCTCCTTCCCCAGTCTCTCCTCAGGTGTCTCTAGTCCACTCTGCCCCTGTCTTTGCCAGAGACCAGAGTAAGAGGCTACAAATAAAAATTTATGTATTGGCCCTTTAAAAGGCTCTTTGCATCTCCAGAGGCCCATCTCTGGCAGAGAGCAATCCTGCTGCTTTTTGCAGCTGGCTGTTATCTGTGTACTTTTTGGGCTCTGGTGCTGTAGGCTGGAGATCCCTGCTTATGGTTTAGACCCCACTCTTCTCAGGGGTATCCATCTGGCTGTTTCAATATCCTTATGGTACTGCTGCTCATAGGCTCCCCGCCTGCCATCTCGAGTCTCTACCACACTCCTTACCAGTTAGGTTGTGTTAAAGCTGATTCTTCTATCTGTCTGAGGTTATAGGGCTCCTTTCTCGTTATTGTTCAGTTGTTGGTTCCACATGATTTCTTCACAATTTAGTTGTAATTCCAGATTGGCTCTGGGAGGAGGTCAGTGTGACTTCCATTCACTCCTCCACCATCTTGATTTCTCTCAGAAATTGCATTCTGAGCAACTGACTTAGCATTTATGCCTGAAGCTTTTATTAATTCACCAGGCTAGAATACTCTGGAAAAGCTGATATGTTTGTGTGCTGCTTCTGGGACCCAAACCCAATATCTAGGTGTGGTTACATTAAGAAGGGAGCCATTGTAGTTGAGTGTCCAATCCTGATACCTTGTAAAACAGTGGTGGAGCCCAGCCCTTTTAGGGAAGTCCTAATCAATCCTGTTAACAAGTGAATCCCAGGTCCCTTTTCATCCTGGCCATTAGGTCTTGGACTGAAAGAAAGACATTTAACATTTACTGTACATCAGATGCTGCTGGGTCATTCCATGTAACAGTATCTTTTTTTAATCCCTGGGAAATACTTTGTATTATCCATATCAATTCCTCAAATGCCCAAGATTTTGTTTGTTTGTTTGTTTCTTTAACTTTCTCAGCTTTTATATATCTTATTCTTTCCATCTGGAATGGCCTGACTCCCTCTCTTTGCCTAATGAATCCTCATTTGGCCTTCACAGCTCATCTCAGGGTGTTATTGCTTCAGGGAAGCCTGCCTAGCCCCTAGGTTTGTTTCCCTTTTACCCACTAATCACACACTCCATCTCAATAAGCACAGCAATTATGTGATCAGTTATTTAATATGTCATTCATGCCAAAGTACATTTTAGCTCTATGGGGATGGGGGCTTGTGTCTATATTATTTTTCTGTGTTATTTGTAGTGCCAGGTGCAGTTTCTTACACATTTACACAGGTATAGTTCCTTACATATAGCTGTTCAGTAAATATTGACTGTATGATTATGGCAAATAATTGTGATCATCAGGAATTGAATGCTGTTATTAGACCTCAAACATTTCCTTCTTTAAATTATACCACAAGTTGACCCATACAAGAAGTATTTCATAATAAAATTACCCAAGAGGTTCTTCCTCAACTCTATTTCAGTTTTAAATAGACAACCTAGCTATAAAAGTTATTCATTAATCTTAGATACTGGCTCGGGTGTGGTTTTTGAGACAAAGAACCAAACGGTTTCAGAAAATTTCTCACTTCTGTGTTGGTATGCTCTTCAGAGCAGTCCTGCATATCTGAGCAGCTATTTTTTAAGAAGAGTGCTTGGAAAGGCTCTAGGATTTTATGTCCCGTTAGGAGAATTGACATATTTCCTGGTTTATAGTGTTTCTGACTTCCTGCTGAGCAAAAAGTTGCTTGTTTGGTGGACAAGCAAAGCTTGGCAGCAAATGCCTAAAACAAAGATTCCCCAGACTTTTGAGGAGCAAACAGAATGCATTGTGGACTTTCTTCTCACAGACTTCTTAGGCTTGCCTTCGCAGACTGCTGACCGGAACCTATGTTGTGTAGATGAAGTGGACTCAGGTAAGGCCCCTGGCCGAGGTGGCGACTGCAGGTTGATAGGAGGGTCTGAGTATGTTCTCTTATTTCCATTTAAGTTTCGAAAGGAAAACTCCAAGCTTTCAGCAACACCTGGAGTCTTTATGGGAGGGAAAGAGATTCCCAGTGAAGGGAGACTTTCTGATTGTTGGCGTTTATCGAACATTGAAGGTGTTCTCGGGTGGGAGTGGCACCAAAATTGTTTATGCGTCTAGAGAACTTTCTCCGATGCCTAGGTTCCTGGGACTGTCTTCCCTTCAAACTTTGTGACAAATGTGACTGTGTCCCCACTGTTTTAGGAGAGCCTTGCTCTTTTGATGTGGCCATCATTGCTGGTCGTCTTCGGATGTTGGGTGACCAGTTCAATGGAGAACTGGAAGCTTCTGCCAGGAACATCATTGCAGAAACCACTCAGGGACAGGTCAGATTTCTGCTACTTCCTATTTACTGCTTTTTATTTCTAAACATTTCAGATGCCCTTTTCTTACTACTCTTATAGGAGTGTGACCAGAAATGTTCTGTGAAAGATTTGGGGACTTATATTTATTTAAGGAGATACAGTAGGGATTCTCCAATTGCCAGTTCTTTAGGATTTAAGCAAGACCTAAGTGGTATTGAGGTGGAAAGCTTTTGGCGTGGGCTGGACAATGTTCACATTGCTTCTATTTGTTTTTTGTCCACACTGTGCTTGGTGGCACAGAGCATATCTACTGTACTTCATTCTTTTAATACTTGTTTTAATACTTATTCTTCTGAACATGGGCATCTTCCCGCCCCCCCCCCCAACCCCAGAGTTCAGCAGTGACATTATATACAGGAAGGATAGGCAGTTGACAAGTTTGATGCAATGAGGAGCCAGGTACAGGAGCCCACTAGGGCACATCTGGGCCTTCAACAGAATGTTGGTTACTAGCAACAGCACTTGTATTGGATATAAGGACCACAGACAATGTTCTAGAAGATGTTACTCATTAATATCAATAAAAGTAGTTAATATGAATTTTTCACTTACCATGTGCCAGGGGATACTCTAAATGCTTGACAGTTACTATCTGATTTAATCCCTACACCACTTTATGAAGTACTATAGAAACTATTATCCATAGCACAACCTCTCCCCATCTACATATAACACTGTGAGAACAAACATCTAACCCATTGTGCTCACTGCTGTAGTTACACAGTCTAGAACCGTGCCTAATACAGAATAGGCTCTCAATAAGTATTTTCTGACTTGATATACATTTAAGCAGAAAAGGAAACTGAGAACTCAGGAAATAAGTAATTAGGTTACATAGTAAGTATTTTTTCTTTTATTTTTTAAAAAACGTATTTTTCCGTTACAGTTTATATAAAGTATTATTTTGTAATAGTTTTGGGTGTACAGCATAGTGGTTAGACAATGATATACTTTCCAAAATGTTCCCTCTCACCTCCCCACCCCCCGGTATTTCCAATACCCATCTGGCACTGTACATAGTTATTATAATGTTATTGACTGTATTTTCTATGCTCTGCTTTACATCCCTACATAATAAGTATTGAAGTTAGGATATGAACCCAGACTGATCCCAGAACAATTATGCTTTATTCTTTCTGCCGAATACAGCTTGGGTGGTGTGCCTACTGGATACTCGGGCAGAACTAGCTTTATTACACCTGATTGCGTGCACAGGTACTTTCATAGATAGCTGAGAGCTGAATCTACTTTTCACTTTTTTAATTAAAAATATTTTTTTGAAATACCCTCAGACTCACAGAAAAGTTGCATATGTTGTACAAAGATTTTCCCACTCGAATCATTTGATAGTAAGTAGCAAATGTGATATTTCATCATCCCCTTAATATTTTTATATTTCCTTGAAGCAAGGACGTTCACTTATATAACCACCATTTAAACATCAAAACCAGGAAATCAATGATCAAGGATACATTTTCATCTCATCCTAAGACCCCATCACATTTTGCCATCATTTTTCCAATGATGTCATTTACAGCAAAAAGATGCAGGCCAGAGTCAGATATTGCAGTAAGTTCTGTCCTTTTCGTCTCCTTTAATCTGGAAAAATTCTTTAGTCTTTCATTGACTTTCATGCCTTTGATGCTTGAAGATTATATGGTTCAGTTATTTTGTAGAATGGCCCTTCACTTGGGTGTGTTTGATATTTTCTCTTAAGTAGATTTGGGATATGTACCTTTGGTAGGAAAATCAGAGGTGCTGCTGTGTCATTCTCGTTCCATCAAGCGGCACCCGTTTCGGTTTGTCCCGTTACCTGTGGCAGCCGTCTCCACTCCAAAGTTACTCTTCTCACCTTTGTAATTAAGTATTTAGTAGGGAGGGACTTTGAAACCTTGTAAATATCCCATATCTCATCAAAATTTCAATCTATTCATTTATTTTATCATCACAGACTCAGGAGTTTCTACTTTATTCAATAGGTTATAATTTGTTACTCTCATTATGTATTCGATGCTCACATTGCCCCAGCTTTGGCCAGTGGGAATCCTTTCAGTATGGACTGTGCCTTTTTGGCATGTCCCTGTCATTCTCTGAGTACTTCCTTAATTTCTATTAAGGGATCAATGTCTAAATAGGAATTTCCAATTCCTATTTGGGAATGAGCCATTCTCCAGGGAGGCCTGGTTTCTTTCAATAGGAAACCATATCTGGGTACCAAGATCTAGGTACCCTCACGTGGATGCCCTTCACAGCTTGTTTGGGCTCTGGCACCCCGCTTTGACTGCCGTGGGCGCCCCTACACTATGCTGCAGTAAGATCTTGCTTCGCCCTACATAATGGCTTTTGGACCAAATATTTTGGGAAGGACAAAGAAAAAGCATACCTTTTTTTTTTTTTTTTTTTTTTTTTACTTTAGAGTTTCCTGGACTTCAGTCATTCAAGCAATACCTTCACAGTTTGATCAGTTGTACCATCATGTACTTCATAATTTTCTTTCAAATCATTTTGTTTCTCTTTCAATCATTTGATTCATCTTAAGCAATACCACCTGAAATCATGGGTCTACTTCCGGTTGTTCTAATGGCCATTACAATAAATACAATATAAAATGAGAAAAGCCTATCCATTTACTCCCTACGATGACCTAGCTACAACCAGTGGCACGTTGGTCACTCTCTGGGGAGCACCTGCTTTCCTGGGTTCCTGTGCCTGCAGCCTCTTGCACTCTTTAGTGACATTCCACTGATTCTGTCCTGTGTCTCTCTCCCCAGGTAGGAGCTGTCCTTCAGGACACAGTAAACTCTCTCAGCAAGGCCTGGTGTGCTCAGGATTCTACCTTGGCTTATGAGAGAGCCTTTTTGGCAGTGTCAGTGAAACTCCTTGAATGTGTGGTCCGCATGGCTCCTACAATGGCAAGACAGGTGATGATGCCCGTAACAAATATGATCAATGGGAATGGTGCCATCCGGGAGTTCATCCAGGGCCAGGGAGGTTGGGTAAGTATGTTGGGACCCCTGGCTTGGCTAGGCATTTGCTGCCAATGCCTAGGACTAATACCTGGGACTCCAACCTACAATTCTTCATGTAAGTTGGAAACCAAGCAGAAAAACAGGCCTCCCTCTTTTGCTGAAAATGCCAGGATGGCTTGCTAAAAAGAGAGAGCACTCAGAAGCTCAGCCTGTGGACATTGGACTCCAGAGTCATGCTGCCTAACATATTGACTGCTAATTATATAAAGCAAACTCCAATCCCTACACATCTGTAAAGTGTATTTGTGGTTGAGTTCTAGTCTCAGCCTGGCTTCACCTTGTAAAGGTGAATTTGCCTGGTAAATTTCTCGATCTTCTTTGCCTAATGCCTTTGGGTGCGTATTGAGGCAGTTCAGAATCATCTCAGTATTTGTTATCTAACAAAAAAAACAATTAGTGTCATCTGCTGTGGAGATAACTACAGCAGGCGTTCTACGCCCATGCCTTAGTCATGACCGGAACCTCTGCTCTCATAGGGCGCGCCCCTTCATTGCCAGTTTAGCGGAAGCCCTAGTAAGAGCCGCATTCCCTGCAGGTACCTGCAGATGATCCCTGGTTTCCTTAGGAAGTTCCTGATGACCGCCCCTTTGACTGTTGGATATTCCTTGTCCTTCCTAGGAAAATCTGGACTGCTGAAGAAGAGGCGGAACTGCTTCCCAGCCTGAACATCTCTTTCTCTTTGATCAGGTGATAGATTTCTGGCCATTAAAACAGGCAAACAAGCAAATTAAAAACCACTTTCTGAACTTGGCTGTGTAGTTCATTTTTCTGTTGATAAAGTTGGGAGCAGCTTCCAGAGGTCCACAGAGATTTTATACTTTCTGTTTTCATGTGAGTTGTAATGAGGTTCTGTTGAAGCAAAGACCTCCAGACACAAAGCAATGACTTGTTAGTAGTGGAATCCCAGGCAACACAGGGCAGGCCTTTGCTGGAGTTTTTCTGAGGAAAAGGGAGCACACAGTAAACTATTCCTTCGGATTTAGCCCTGTCTTTGGTAAGAATCTTGTCTGCTAATTTTGTAGTCAAAAAGATTTCAGGGAGATTTTTAGTTGGCAAATCTTGTTACTTGTTAAGTTGAAGATGTTCTTTTAAATTCATAACCTAAATTTCATGTGAATTTCACCTAAGCAGAATCATTATATGCATTTTCAAGGTTGGAAGTAAAAAATAGCAGTTCGTTCATGTGCTCTTCTATTAGAAAGGTCAAAGAAAGACAAAACAACTGCCTTCCCACTGCCACAGGATGCAGGAAGTGCTGGCCCACATCTAGGACAGAAGGGCTGTCACACATACCGCAGTGATTTTCAAAGTGTGGCTTGCATGTCACTTGTGGACCTTGTAAACTGCTGATGTCCAGGTTCCATCCCTAGAGATTCTGATCCTCTAGGGGTGGGCTGGGGCCCAGGATCCTACCTTTTTAACCAGTTCCACAGGTGATTCTGCTGCCCAGATAGCGTTTGAGATCATCACTTTAGGGCAGGGGTTGGCAAGTTGTAGCCCCACAGGCCAATCAGCCTGCTGCCTTTTTTTTTTTGTAAATAAAATTTTATTGGAATGCAGCTATACTCACTTGTTTACATGTGATCTGACCGTTTTAGGACTGCTATGCAGAGTTGAGTAGTTACGGCAGATACCCTATGGCTCCTTAAAGCTTAAAATACTTACCTTCTGGCCATTTAAGTTTGCAGACCCCTCCTCTAAGGCTTAATGAAGATTCTGCCTTGAGTTGATTAAACTCTTGCAATCCTGATCATTCCTGGCAAACACAATTTAGACAAGATAACACTTTTTCTCAGAATTTAGTCTGAGAGGGTTTGTACATACTCTGTGACTATGTTGTCCTCAGTTGTCCAGAGAGGGTATACATTCCCCCGGCTCTACCACAAGTGATTGGAGGTAATTAGAAACAAAGCATATTGCTTCTATGGCCTGTGTATCTCATAATAGTTTTTACTAGTCTCATAGATTAGTAAGCAACAATCAAGTAGAGGCTCCATCCAAAAGCCCCCAAATCAGATTACCTATCTCCCCCCAGCAAGGAAAACATTGTTCTCTTTTAAAGAGGTGTTAATATCTTCGGCTAAATTTACAGACCTAACCACATCCCCTCCCTTCAGCCAGCCAGCTACCTGGCTCCCCTAAATGTGTAAAAATAAAGACAGTGCTGCTAAATATTTTGACTTTTCTTTTTTGAATTATATTTTATTGATTATGCTATTACAGTTGTCTTGATTTGTCCCCCTTTGCCCACCTCCACCCAGTGCTCCCTACTTCCTCAGGCAGTTGCCCCATCATTGTTCATGTCCATGGGTCACGTGTATAGGTTCTTTGGTTTCTCCATTTCCTGTACTGTACTTTACATGCCCATGGCTATTCTTTAACTACCTATTTGTACTTCGTACTCCCCTCACCTCTTCACCCTTTCTTTCCCTGCCCCCTCCCATCTGGCAACCTTCTGCTAACTAACTTCTTTTCTCTTGCTTTTAAGAGTCTCTATCTTTAACCTTCAACCTTTTCATAATGTGTCTTGCATTGGGCCTCTTTGCATTCATCATAATTGGGATTCTCGGCACTTCCTGGATTTGTATGTCTATTTCCGTCACCAAATAAGGGAAGTTTTCTTTCACTATTTTTTCAGATAAATTTCCAATTTCTTGCTCTTTCTCTTCTCCTTCTGGCACCCCTATGATGCAAATGCTGGACCCCTTAAAGTTGTCATAGAGGCTGCTTATACTATCCTCTTTTTTTGGATTCTTTTTTCTTCTTGTTGCTCTGTGTGGTGGTTTTTTGATTCCTTATGTTCCAAATCATTGGTTTGATTCCCAGCTTCATCCACTCTACTGTTGTTTCCCTGTAAATTGTTCTTTATTTCAATTAGTGTACAGTTTGTTTTTGAAAGGGTCTTTTTTATGCTGCTGACCTCCTCACTAAGTTCCTTGAACATCCTTATAACCAGTGTTTTGAACTCTGCATCTCATGGACTGCTTATCTCCATTTTAGTTCTTTTTCTGGAGTTTTGATCTGTTCTTTCATTTGGGCCATGTTTCTTTGTCTCCTCATTTTGGCAGCCTCCCTGTGTTTGTTTCTCTGTATTAGGTAGAGCTGCTTTGACTCCGTGTCTTGGTAGTGTGGCCTAATGTAGTAGGTGTCCTGTAGGGTCTGGTGGCATAGCCTCCCCTCTCACTCAAGCTGAGTACTCAAGGTGTGCTGTCCATGTGTGGGCTGAGTACACCCTCCTCTTGTAGCTGAGCCTTGGTTGCTGTTGGGGGATCAATGGGAGGGATTTACCCAGGCCTGTCAGCTGCCAAGGACTGGCTGTGACCACTGACCACCAACCTCCTCCCTCTATGGAGGATCAGCTGTGCAGGGGCAGGGTGGTGGTGCTCTGACGTGGTCTGTAGCTGCCCACTGGGTGCATTGGTCCTTGGGTTTCCCGGGTGGTGCAGGCCAAGTACAGTCCTCACCTGTGTTTTTCCCAGGGCCACATTGCAGAGCTATAATGCAGTCTGAGATGGCTGCTACTTGTGCTGGGCTTGAAGATTCTCAGGTGAAGCCAAGCTTTGACTAATCTGGCTGCTACTAGGGCTCACTGAAGCCAGCTGTTACTTGTTTGATAGGATTTAGGAGCCAAGATCAGCCATTCTTATGGAAAAGCAGCTTGGGTGGGCCTGTAAGTTGGGTGGGGCAGAGCCCGTGGGGATCTCCAAGGTGGGTCACACAGGGTGTCCTGCAAGCGTTGGAGGCCAGAAAGGGTCACACGGGACTCAGGCAGGTGGAAGAGAATTTGTGGAGCCCTCAGGATGTCTCACATGCCTTTATTCTGGGGTGGGGTGATACACGCCTGCTGCAAGCTGCGAGTCGTGCCACCGAAGTGCCGACTCCCTTATATATTAAATGTGCACAAAGCCGGCCTGGGGCCAATACTGACCTTAGGTTATGTAACAGCTTCATTGTATGCCTGCGGGTCCCTACTCAAGGTTATGTGAACACTGCTAAGTTATGTTTGCCTGGACATCCAGGTGAAGGAGCCTGACCGACTCCATTTTCCTTACACAGTGTTAGCCAGGTTGATGGAGTCTCGCATATGGCACCAGCCTATCAGTTCTGGGGGGTGGGTGGGCTCAGCAAAGGGACAAGTGGCCTCTGCTTGTCCCGATGCCAGACACATAAGTCTCTCCCTGCATATCACTGGTACCCTTCAAGTTGCCACCCTGGTGCTGGAGCTCAGAAGGAGTAAGTTTGAGTAGGTATGTGGGTTCCCCAAGAGGAACTGCTTAGGGCTCTAGCAGCCTCCTCTGCCAATTCAATCCCCATTGGTTTTCACAGCCAGAAGTTGTGGGGACTTATCTTCCTGGCATTGGAACCCTGGGCTGGGGGGCCTGGTATGGGTCTGTGACTCCTTGCTCCCGAGACATCCCTCCTGAATTTTTATCCCCGTGGGTGTGGGGCTGGCCCGTTCTGCATCCTCGCCCCTCCTACCAGTCTCAATGGATGTGGTTTCTTCAATTCCATAGTTGTCAGACTTCCATTCAACTTGATTTCAGTTTTCAGACTTCCATTCACCTTGATTGCTGATGCTTCTGAGCAATGGTTGTTCTATATTTTAGTTGTAATTTTGACGTGGTTGTGTGAAGAGGTAAGCCCTGTCTGCCTATGCTGCCATCTTGATTGGAATCTTTGACTTTTTCAGGTTAGGCTCTTTCCTCTATTACAGGACAAATTGCAATAGGTTAGCAAGCCAGAAATGAGATTTCATGTTTCTCTTTAGTAGAAACTGGCTTTCTACCAACTGAAGATACTTAAAGTATTCCTTTGTTTCATACATTACTATAAACTCAAAATGGTTAGTTTTGTGGTATTTGACCTCTTAGGCGAAGTCACTGTTATTACCTTGATTAATGCTCTTCTGTTAATGAAGTAAAATTCTGTCTATGCATTTGAACTAGTTCTCAGCAAGTGTAATCCTAATTGAATGATATTGGGTTGGCCAAAAAGTCCATTTAGTTTTTTATGTAAAATGAACAACACATTTTTCATTTTCACCAATAACTTTATTGATTTGGGTATTTTGAGTATGTTGCTGTCTCCTGCTATTGGCTCCTAATGGGTAGAGGCCAGGGGTGCTGCTAAAAATTTTCCGATGCATAAGACAGCCCGACAGCAAAGAACTATTTGGCCAAAATGCCAATAGTACCAAGAAACTTCACAAACCACTTTCTACACATTTGATCAGTCACAGTACCTTCTCCCTACGCTGCACAAATCTTTTTTTTTTATGTTTCAGTTGCGTTTTTAACCTTTCTTGAAAGAATAAAGCATAATACACTGAAAATGTTACATATCTTCTTCCATCTTCAATATTAAAATAGCTGCCCCCAAATTCACCATTTTTTTTGTAAGTGCTTTTTAAATGCACTCTGATATGACAGCTGTTACAATACAATCTAACAAAGTTGTTTTGAATGAGGTTAAAGATAACTAAACACTACTAGAACCATCTATGGAAAAAATTAAATGAACTTTTTGGCCAACCCAATAGAAACAGAACAGATTTGCGGTTGCCAGGGATGGATAGGGGGTGGGGGAGTGGAGGAAATAGGCGAAGGGGGTCAAAAGGTACAAACTCCTAGTTATGAGATAAAACAGTTCTGGGGATCTAATGGGCAGCAGGTAACAATACTATATTACATATTTGAAAGTTGCTAAGAGA